AATGAAAATTAAAAATGAAAGGGAAATATTTTAATAATAATATTCTACATCATCAATTAAAAATGGAACGAAAATTGGGTAAAATATCACTACATCTGATATTCTAATTGGCTAATTGACCAATTGACTGAAAATAAAAAAAGAATAATTTGCTGAAAATGAATATGATATTACTAATTAACTGAAAATATAAAATGAAATGAAATATTAATAGTTGACTGCAAATAAAAAATGATCTATAATTAACTAATATGAAAAAAATAAATGGTTAGGTCATTGCATTTTAATTAAAAATTGATGGAAACTAAAATTTGACAGAAATATTTCAACAATAATATTCTACATCATAGATAATAAAGGCATATTTTAAACAATAATAAAAAATTAAAAATGCAACGGAAATATTTCAATAATAATATTATACATAATCAATTAAAACTCGAACGAAAATTATGTAAAAATATCATTGCATATGATATTCTAATTGACTAATTGATTAAAAATAAAAAAGAATAATTGGCTGAAAATGAATATGATATTACAAACTGACTTAAAATATAAAAAAATTCCTAATTGACTAATATTCTACCATTATATATTTTCACTCGAGTCACCCATCATGATGGACTGAAGGTGTTAGCTATAGACGATGATGGACAAGATTGTGTTGCTACTACCAATGTCGAAAGATGTTTCAATAATGTGTACATACAATCGTTGACATTTTTTTTAAATGACAAATTTGCTATATATCTAGACAAAAAATATATATATCTTCCATACAAATGAATTAAGATAGTAATTCTTTCCTATAACTGAGTTGCTTGAGAATGAGCACATTTGACTAATTTATATAAAAAAAAATACTAAACAATGATAAATAAAATCTCCAAAATTACAGCACCGCATGCGTACATCTACACATTAGCTATTAATTTGAGCAATCATTTGCTCAAATTTAAGCAATGATAACATCAAAACACATAAATAATCCAAACCATATGTTCAATTGCACTATATAATATTTGATGTTATAATTTAAATAATTATATATTGATCCAAATATTCTTAATATATTACAACAAATCCATTCTGTGCATCGAACGAGTGAAAATACTATTATTCTAATAATTTTTCTTTCCTTCTTTCGTGTAATTACTATGCTAATGTATTTAAATATTGAAAGAGAATTCTATTAAAAGGATCCTTAACTCACTAAAATTCTATATTATTCTTAAAAACAAAACCCCCATTTCTTACTTACCCGCCCAAACAAAAAAAAAAAAATTACCAATTAATAATACTAATAATAATTAGTAAAAAAGTTAGTAGTAAAATAGAAAAAAAGATCCTTAATTCACAAAAAATAGAAAAGGAAACGGGATTCACTAATTAATTAAAACTAACAATAATCAGTAAAAAAAGATCCTTAATTCACTAAAAATAAAAATATAAACGGAATTTACTGATTATGACTAATAATAATTGGTAAAATAGGAAAATAAAAAATGAGTCTTAATTCAATAAAAATGAAAAAAGAAACGTAAGGATGTGAAAAAAAAAAGGTCATAATAAAGATAACAGTAAAAAAAAAAAAGAAAATTCTACCAAAAATTAGAATAATAAAAAAAGTTTCTTAATTCACGAGAAATAGAAAAGGAAATGAAATTCACTGATTAATTAATAGTAATAATAATCAGTCAGAAAATTAGCAGTAAAATATGAAGAAAAAAAAAGATCATTACTTCACTAAAAATGGAAAAATAAACGAAATTTACTGATTAATACTAATAATAATCAGTAAAATTGAAAATAAAAAATGATTCTTAATTCAATGAAAATGAAAGATTTTTTTTTTTTTTAAAAGGGGTCATAATAAAAATAACAGTAAAAACAATCCTACAAAAAAATTGAAAAAAAAAAAGATTCATAATTTACGAAAAATAGAAAATGAAATGGAATTAACTGAATAATTAATACTAATAATAATCAGTAAAATTAAAAGTTAGCATTAAAATAGAAAAATATAAAAGGATCCTTAATTCACTAAAAATAGAAAAAGAAACGAAAGTCACTAATTAATACTAATAATACTCAGTTAAATAGGAAAATATAAAAAAATTCTCAATCTATACCATTATTAAAAAGAAAATCCTTCTTCCTTACTTTCACACCCAAACAATAGAAAAAGAAAAAAAAATCTATAATATAATTAAAAACAAAATTCTATTTACTTGATTTATCGCCCAAACAATAGTAAATAGTAAAGGTAAATTAAAAAAAAAAAAGATGAAAAAAAAAGAACAAAAATATTTCACAATAATATTCTATATTATCAATTAAAAATGGAATGGAAATTAGGTAAATAAATAAGTATCTATTCAAACATATTTTCTCAACCAACACCTTCACTAAGGCTCAATCTCATGACTTCCCACATAAGAAAGGTCACTACATGCCATCTGAGCACAAGGTGCTTGGCAACAAACATTAGGTTAATTGAAAAAGGAAATAAATATTAACAATTGTTTGAAAATAAGAAAATATTCATAATTGACTAAAACAGAAAAAAAATGGTCATATCATTGCATTTTAATTTTTCACAATAATATTACACAGTATAATACATCAAATCACAAGTATGTCATAAATTTTACACAATTTTAAACAATAGAATGGAAATATTTCAATAATAATATTCTACACTATCAAGTAAAGGTAAATTAAAAATGAAAAGGAAATACTTCAATAATAATATTCTACATCATCAATACTAAAGACATATTTTAAACAATAGTAAAGGTAAATTAAAAATGTAGCGAAAATTAAAAATGAAATGGAAATATTTCAATAATAATATTCTAAATCATCAATTAAAAATGAAACGAAAATTTGGTAAAAATATCATTGCATTTGATATTTTAGTTCGCTAATTGATTAATTGACTAAAAATAAAAGAGAAGTAATTGGATGAAAATAAATATGATATTACTAATGGATTGAAAATTTAAAAGGAAATGAATATTAATAATTGACTGCAAATAAAAAACTATTCATAATTGACTAATATGAAAAAAATAAATGGTTAGATCATTGCATTTTAATTAAAATGGAAGGGAAACTAAAATTGAACGCCAATATTTCAATAATAATATTCTACATCATAAATAGTAAGTGCATATTTTAAACAATAGTAAAGGTAAATTACAAATGGAACAGAAATATTTCAATAATAATATTATACATCCTCAATTAAAAATGGAACACAAATTAGGTAAAAATATCACTCCATGTAATATTCTAATTGACTAAAAATACAAAAGAATAATTGATTGAAAATGAATATGATATTACTAATTTATTTAAAATATAAAAGGATCGCTAATTGACTAATATTATACCATTATATATTTTCACCGAGTCACCCATCTTGATCAATTGAAGGTGTTAGCTCTAGACGATCATGGACAAGATTGTGTTGCTACTACCAATGTCGTCTACAAAGATGTTTCAACAATGTCTAAATAAAATCGTTGATATTATATTTTTTAAATGACAAAATTGTTATATGTATAGACAAAAAAAATATCCTCCATACAAATGAATTAAGATAACAATTCATTCATATAACTGAGTTGCTAGAGAACAAACACATTTGTATAATTTATAAAAAAATACTAAACAATGATAAAAAAAAAAAAAATCTCCAAAGTTATAACACTACATGCATACATCTACACATTAGCTATTAATTTGAGCAATTATTTGCTTAAATTCATACAATGATAATATAAAAACACATAAATGATCCAACCCGTATATTCAATTGAACTATATAATATTTGATGTTCTAATTTAAATAATTATATATCGATCGAAATATTCTTAATATATTACAACAAATCTATTCCGTGCATCGCACGGGCGCAAATACTAGTATTTAAAGAAAAAGAATATAATTTTGTGATGATAAAATTTCATAATTTCAAAAAGTACACTGATATTTTCATTTTCTGAGTACACTGATATTTTCATTAAATATTCTATTGTTTCATTTGTTCTCATACGTTTTGTATGGTTATAACGAAATTTCATCCAAGATATTTGAAATTCAAATTCTATAATATTTAATTTGTGCGTTTAAAAGTTACATATATAAATCGATTTAAAAAACTATTACGGAGTATACAAAGTTTAAAAATAAGCAATTAATTAATAAAAATTTATTTGATTAATAAATGATTAGTTAAATGAGACAAAGGTAGTGTTAATTAGATCATGCAAGATTTATGATAAAAAAATTACACTAACTACCCTGAAACCGTGTAGCTCTTGACAAGCATCTTGTTATATATCCATTGATCAATTTCATTATAAATGAGCAAGATGAAATTGCATGAAAAAAAAATAAAAATCTATATAGTGTCACAAATGTATATCTATCATTACAAAATCATTTTCAATTATTCATAAAAAAAAATATTGTGTAAAAGTAGATGGACATATAATTATAAAAATAAAGAGATTTTTTTTTTGAGAATAAAACAAAGAGATTTATTTATTTGTTATAATTCATATCTCTACGCTATATATATCTGGAATAACATGTTATAAATATTTTGTCACTCAATTATACGGTGAATAATACAAAATGTTATTGAATTGGTTATGTCTGTTTATTTTGATAATTAAGTTATATAATTCATGACCATATTATTATATAATATTCTAGTACTTTTAAAATTATTACATAATATATTTATTTTATAATTCATATAATTAATAAATGTGTAATGGGGGAGTAGCTTTCCAAAAATGCCCTTGAATGTACAAATTCAGAAATCAGAAGAGAAAGAGACGGCCTAGCCTTGTATATGTGCGCGAGGAAAGATGGCAACGTGCGTCGTATAGGAAATAGCACAGCATATCATATAGGAAATCACAGAGATTCAGTTTCGATTTTGTTCTTGCGATATATGAGCTTCAAATCACCATAATCTTTTGCTTTTTTCCCCGGAAAGCTTGCGGATTCAGCTCTGTGGGAGAGATGGCGAGGAACGGGGTGTTTTCACGGTGGCGGAGGGCTGAGGGACCCGCCGGATTGTCGCTGCCATCAGAATCTCACGACGTTCATGTCCTTGCCGTCGACGATAGCCTCGTCGACAGGAAAGTAATCGAGAAATTGCTCAAAATTACATCCTGTAAAGGTTTGCCGCGCTCTGGAATTTCGCCCTGAAAATTCGCAACTGCTCTGTTAGTTTCCATATTTTACTGAGATTGTAAGAAAAAAAAATATTTGTTTGTTGCAGTGACAGCAGTGGATAGTGGGAGTAGAGCTCTGCAATTCTTAGGATTGGACAAGGAAGAGAGTTCTGTTGGGTTTGATGTAAGTGAATTCCATAAATTTGTTGATTTTCTCTCTTTCATAATGTAGAATATTTATCGGTTTGGTTTCAGCAAAATTTGATTGATGATTGTTTTGTGGATGTGAATTTAGGGTTTGAAGGTGGATATGATAATCACAGATTATTGCATGCCTGGAATGACTGGCTATGAATTGCTCAAAAAGATTAAGGTCCCTTTTTCTGTACTATATTTTTATTTGTTTCTATTTCGGCTTGTAAGAAATGATTATAAAAAACTGAAGTTTAACTGGAAAAGTATTTGTGTTCATTTATTTTATTTTTTACTTAGTTTGTTTGTATGAACAGGGATCATCTTTTAGGGAAATTCCTGTTGTCATAATGTCATCTGAGAATGTTTTGGCAAGAATTGACAGGTATTTTTTAATGTACTAGTGTTGATTTCTTCAATGCTGCTTTGTTGTTGTTTCCATTTTGAGATTGCCATGAATTTACAGCTGAATATTGGACTTAACTTCATTCAAGAACACGAAAACCTCTTGTTAATCATTCGAGATGGTTTGACTGTTTAACATTACTGTTTAAATCCTCCACAGGGTGTGAATGTTCTTGTTTGAGTTTAATTTGGAACTATGCATATTTGCTTTTCTTGCAAAACTAGTTTGTTTCTTAAAAGGAAAATAAAACGAATAAATGCATGAAAATTGTAGATCCTATCATTCCCCTTCTTTCTTAGTGAAATTTTGTTAGGAAAAAGGAGGTAAAGAGACGCAGAGAACTCCGATTGGGATTGCCATTTGTTAACAATAAATTGTTTGGTTGATTGACTTTAGCGAAACAGTTTGTTAATCGGTCGTCTTAGATGACTTAAATCAATAAACTGATTGCCACTTGTTCACTAGTTTAATACATTTAACATACTATAATAGTGCATTGGAGGTCATGCAATAGAATATCATATCCAGAGCATTCCAATGTTGTTTATATCCATAAAGAATCACCATTTTGTATAAAAATTTAGTTCTATTGTGGATTTGTGGTAAACATAGAAGGAAATGCACATGATTTTGGGATCCCTCGATTCACCTACTTGAACTGTAAATATGTACTTTACTAAACAGATAAAAAAACAGAGTACTTTTCTGCTTAAATAGTTTATTTTCCAGAGTTGATTTTCCCCATGCCAATTTACAGAAAGGAAAAAAAAATGTTCTGATAGTTTTCTATAAACACATTGCACTTAAACGAACCGTTTTCTAAGTAAAATCTTCTGTTGCCTTTATGTGATAATAGCAGGTGTCTGGAAGAGGGGGCGGAAGATTTTTTGTTGAAGCCAGTGAAACTGTCGGATGTAAAACGATTGAAGAGTCACATGTTTGGCGAGGACAAGGATCCACGAGAAGACAGCGGGATAAACAAGAGAAAGTTACAAGAAATGTCGGAGGATTCGTCACCTCCCTTGCCTTCACCATCACCATTGCTGTCTCCAAATCCGTCAACCGATCTTTCATCATCATCATCCTCCACTTCATCATCACCTTCCTCACCTGAACTACTTGAATCTCCTAAGACAGAGGAATGAAACAAGAATACTAGGTACTATAACATTAGTTCTTTCTTTTCTTTCTTCTCAATGTGTTATACAACAGAAAAGCCAATTTCCCCCTCCTATCCTATGTGTGGTTTTTGTTGGCTTGTAATTTTTTTTTTAAACTTATTATTATTGATTTTCAAATGGTGGCATTCTTAATTACCTAGTCATTTTGTGTGATAACTGATAACACAATCTTGAAATTGCATTAGTACATTATGACAGATTTGTGGTATAAAATAAAATGAGAAAAGGAGTAATAGATATATTGTGGGTGAGAGAAATGAAAATGTGGGATTTAGAATGATTTGATTCTGATAAGATGTTATAATGTAGTCAATTCTTGTCTGGTAAAAGGAATATTAGATTCGGATTTGAGTTGGACATGTTTGATATGTTCCCTTTATACAAGTGTATGGGGGACCCCTTTCCATCTATACCTCTTCCTCTCTGCACACTTTGTCTCACAATATCTGCTAACCCATACAATATATATAATCCATAACTTCCCCCGTTAATTTCAATATTGTCTCCTCCGCTGTCTTATTTAATTAAGAGTTAATTTCTTTTCAAAAAAAAAAAAAAGAAAAAAGAGTTAATTTAACGAAGTTCTCTTGTTTTTTGTGGCAATTTTAAATTTAGTCTCATATTATCATTTTTGTCATTTAATATCCCAACCTATAATATTTTTATCATTTTTGTCATTTAATACCCCAACCTATAATATTTTTATCATTTTTGTCATTTAATACCCCAACCTATAATATTTTGGACACTTTTGATCCATTTCGACAATTTTTTCAGTGAAATTTTATTTTAAGAAAGAGTACTTTCCTATGACAAAAAAGAGACTTCTTTCTCTATTTTTTTTCTTTGTTTTTTTGATTGCTCTACAACTGTAGTAGATGATTCACAGAATTATGGACTAAAACAATTGCAGTTAGACTGAAGCTCACTGGGTGGCGACATCCTGAGCTTTCAAACTAGGTTGCAAAATGATTCTCCCGCACTTGGAGGTCCTCACGTACTTGGTATTGCCATTGGTGAAGGACGATTTGGAGCCGGGTTGAAGGAGATGAAAACAAGTGCCGGGTGAAGGAGATCCACGGTCGAAGGGACGAAAATGTTCTTATCTAAAATAGGATTTCAATGGAAAAGTCACCGAAAGGATCAAAAGTATTTAAAATATGATAGTTTAGGGTGTTAAATGACAAAAATAATAGTTTGAAATTAAATTTGAAATTGTCACCCCCATATAGGTGTTGCGAAAAGCCTACACTTTTTCATTCACCCCCATATGCTACACTTATACATGTGTAGCATGTGTAGCGAAAACACTTGTATAAGTGTAGTTGGTATGTTCCTTTTGCATGATTTCTTGTTGTATTAAAGTATATATATGTTTAATATTCACTACAAATATAAGTTAATAATACACATAAAATGTTATATGCGCTCACAAATTGTACTAAAAACCTGCTCTCACTACGTGTACAATAATAGAAATACAATGGAGAGATATGATTAATAAGGCAATAGATATTTTATTAAATTAATATATGAATCTGTAATACTTTTTTTTTTTGAAAATATATGAATCTGTAATACAATCCAAGTAGAATAACAAATTAAAGGAGCTTAGGAGGCTCTATAATAATGGATGGTATGGGAAGTGCACTAAGTTTAAGAAATCAGATCCCTTTGCTAATCTAGAGAGGTATCTATTTATGGTGTCAAAATAGGGATACATGTTGGGTTCTTTGCTGATGGGTATAAATTCTGATGCAACAGTGCAACATTGACAACTTAAGTCAATCACGATACGTGTTAATCTCGAAAGTCATATTCTTAGTAATAGACCTAGTGGTGGTAGAATTGACCATTTTATTGTCTTTTCCCGATCTTTTTGATTGGTTCCATGCCTTGAAGGTGGGATTCAATTTAGGTCTAGTTAGCCTCTTGACCTGATCATTAATATGCCTATCATATTACCTCACCACAAGTAAATATAAATAAATGAGTGTAAAATTATATTTGACTGCAAATTTTTTATACATGCAATAAATTCGTACTGTGAATCTCATTCAATTCATTATGATATTTTTTTTTAATTCATTATGATATAATAACTACTTAATGTTAAATCTTAAAATATGTAAACCTTAAAAAGTTCATCTAATTTGTAACAAAGGTTTTTAAGAGAATATCATTAAAGTAGTTTTGATCAAGTAGTATTATACAATGGAGACAAACTAGTAACATAACCTTTCTTAGCTTCATGGTTTTCTCACATTCTTAAGCTATCCTTTTCCCACTACAAATCCCAATTTTATTGAAGCATCTATTTACACTTAGAGCATCAACACCAAAGGTTAATAAGGGGTTAATGTCAAATGAATAAATTTAGATGGAGATATTAAAAGATGTGGAGTGGAGTTATTTGAAGGAAGAATCCTCCTGCAAATGTAAAAATAATGTCAGACGAAAAAAAAAAAAAAAAAAAAAAAAAAAACAGGCTATGCGCGTGCACGCGCCCGTGTACGGGTCAGGCACACTGACAGCACGCTTGACGCTTCAGTTTTTTTTTTTTTTTTTTTTCCTCCCACTTCCTCTTTCCTAATCACTCTTACATTATCCCCCAATTCTCCCCAAATGATGCGGATGTTCTTATACCAATTATAAGCACAAGAAATCGTACTTTTTATTCTTTTGAAACATCATTCTACTATTCAAATGTAGCAAATCTTATATTGACAGCAGCCAATGAACATGGGTCGTCAATGTGTGAGACTATGTGATTTCATATTGACAAATGACTAAAATGAGAGAAAAGTACAATTCACACTTGGTTATTGGTAGCGATAAAGAGTAACAATGACATAACTGGGGACCATTTATTTATTAATTTTTTTTTTTTTTTTTTTTGCTGGTGGAATAGTATGATTGTTGAATAGCAAATTCCTTTCTCACATCACTGTTTTTGCCTGGTTGGATCTGCTTTGCTTCATATTCCTATTATATATCTAATTGTTAGGGCTTGAACCAAGGGATGTCAATTAAGCCAACTCATTAGTTTTACGTGGCTGTTGAGCTTATCTATTTGGGTTAAATAAAATTTTTTTGTTGGGTTGAATTGGCCCTAACCCAAAACTGCCGGTTGTCAGGCCACACACACACACACACACACACACACACACACATATATATATATATATGTATATATGTATGTATGTGTGTATGTATGTATGTGTGCGCGCGCGCAACAAAAGTTGCCAACATTGATCAATCAGGCCCTCCTTTGGCCTGCCGCCCGTTCGTTTCTTAGCTTTGATATCACTTGTTAGGATAAATTATTTACTACTACGTATACATCCAAAATTATAACTAGTACGAAGACGTAACTTTATTTCCTTATATCGCCACATACATTTTTAAGAGACAAGATGCTGGACTTAGTCGTGCAGGTCTCCCTCAAACAATTTTTCTAGCCACTTGTGCTGGACTTCGGCTTTCAATAACTCCCCCCAACAATATATTTTCTGAGTTCACATCTAGTTGGATAATTGCCATCTCAGAAGCAGTGTGTAGATAGTGAAGTCCTCGTGTAGATAGATGCAATGCATATTTCAAGTCTCTATCTCCAGTTCAGCTTACAAACATATATGAGTTGTATAAATAAATAATTCTTTAAACTTCCATTCTCTATGTACTAATAATATATATTATGATCGTCTCCTTCATTTCATCACACTACCCATTCAATGATGAATGATACCAAATGGCGATGCCTAAAATTGTTACTTTTCAAATTCATAAAAATAATATTGTAAGTTTATTAAAATGATACAAATTGATTCATCATAACTTAAATATATTATTCCAGATTTCTCTTTGTATAACTAAAATCATTGTATAAAAATATTTTTAAAAATATATTGTTGATATCTTTTAAATAACATCCATATTAATACGTTGGATACGTCTAATTCCTGTATGTACGTGTCGGTTCATATTTCCTTTGACCGAAATGTATGGATTCGCTCAGATAGGTCTCGGGTAGTTGGATGAAATAAAAAGTCACTCTTTCAATAATAAATGTGTTAGACGTCGGCTGAGCTGGTTGAGTTCAGTCTCTGGTTTCGTGAGTGTATTTTGAAAATGAATTTTATCTTTCATTCATTCAACATTTTAGACATATAAATATATAAAATTAATCAAAATGTCTAAAAAAAAAATTCAAATTTATCCCGACTCGATTATATGATAACTACTTGTTTATAAGCAAAATTTTCTAAATGTTCATAATCACAATATTCAACATATTTAAATTAAATGCTTAATAATTGTCCACACTTCATTATTCCTCCATAGTCTTCCCAATGAATTTCAATGTGAAAACTGAACTAGTACTCCATTTATGCAGTCGCCCGCACCTACCTCCTATTAAACACCATTTATACAGAGTAAAAGTGAGTAATGTTACCTCCGGGGCTTAACATAGTAATTTGTCGCCTGACTTAATGTCACCATTGAAAGTAACAGAGAATGATGGAAGGTGCAGATTAGATCCCCGCCTTGTGCGCCTATGGAGACTAGATCGAGTCTGACCGATGAGTTGATTGCGCGACTACGGATTTACCTCTGCAGTGGCTCTAGGGCAGAATCTTGTGGACTTAGATTAGTCTGGCAAAACTGATATCATTTATATATATATATATATATATATATATATATATATATATATATATATATATATATATATATATATATATATTTGTTTTTTTTTAAAAAAAAAAAAAGAAAGAAAGTGAGTGATGTTATATTTACTTCCACCTTTGATCTGCAATTATTATTTAAGAGTATGTATTAAGTAAACTTTATTATTGTGTAATAATCTATAAACTATAAACAAAAATAAATAAATTGTATTAGGAAAATATTCAATGACTCAACTGAAAAAGTATAAACAAAAATTTAACTTATCTCTTGCAGATAAGAGTATCATAATTTAACTTATAATCTTGCGGATGGACATTGAATTTTGAGGCAGTTAGGTACGTCTGAAGACTGAAGGGTCACATCTTATTAAAA